AAAATTATGAATTGTATCTACGTTTAAAACTCAGTAAACTTAAAAATAAGTTATTCCAAAGATGAAACAGAACTAATGATTTTAATTTAATTATATCATTAAATGTGAAGTTTTTGGCTTCGGTTTGTGAAACATGGTAATTCATGTGTAGCGAGGAAACCATATTTTAAATCAGTTAATTTCTTACATATATATATACATAAACGAAATGTGTCAAAACTAAGTTGACTGCGCGAACTTATCTCAGTCAGAATCTACCAGGAAGATGGATTGGGTGTGCCAGTGATAATGACAATGTGCTGTTGAAATGGCCACTACGTTCACCTACCTTGACACCTAGGGAATTTTTTCTATGGGGTTAGCTGACAGGTCTGCATCACTCTCCTTTTCCTACAGGCCTAGAGAATTTTAAACAGAGAAACACTGAGACGCTGGAGAATGTTACGCAAGACATGCTACATCGTGTTTGGCAAGAACTGGACTTTGACGTGTATCGTGTCACAGGTGGTACGCTTGTTTAAACATTTGTGAAATCGGTTATAAAATCTACATCCCTTTGAATCTGTTGTTTGAATTTTGATAAATAAATCTTTTATTGTTCAGCATGACGTCTATTTAATTTTGTTTGCCTGTGACATACAGTTGCTCAAATATTCATATTTTAATTTATGTCATTTTGTTGGGGAACATCCTGTATTTTTATAATTTCACCCCAAGGCAATAAAGCCACAAAAACACAAAGGGGGTTTCTGAAAGGGAAAGAATAAGAACTAGATAGATTTCAAAACCGTTTCCGAGTTTATTTTTTGGAGAAGAATTATTTTCCACCTTCCAACCTCTCTCTCACAGGCGGGATGTGGCAAGCCCTCACTGCCCCATCGCTACTTCCATGGAAAGTGCTCGGACGAACTACATTCCTTGATTCCGCCGTGTCTAAACTTCACGGCTAAGACCCACCATGCCACTTACATAGTATCAAACCACCCACATTCTCCCCGTATTCCATTCTAACAGCTTCTTCCTGTGAACCTATGGAAGAGACGCCCAAGAGAATGTTACCCCCATCACTACAATCGTAACCTGTTCAAGTCTAGAGTTAACTGTTATCTTGTATTCCTAGCCATATAAATTATTTCCTTGTCCCATCGCTACTTCCGTGGAAAGTGCTCGGACGAACTACATTCCTTGGTTCCGCCATGTCTAATCTTCACGGCTAAAACCCGCCATGCCAGGCACACTGTAGCGAACGACCCACATACCTTCTGTATTCCATCGGTGAGAAGTTCCATCTGAACAGCTACTCCCCACGAAATTAAGGAACAGACTCCCAAGAGGATGTTTCCCCAATCACTACAATCTTAACCTGTTCAAGTCTAGAGTTAATCGTTATCTTGCATTCCTAGCCATATAAATTACTCCTTAACGTAATCCACTGTCTCGAGTTCTTGGACAAAACGTTTTTTTTGGTGCTGTTTAATAAAGAGAATCTTTCAACTGAAGAGGACAATCAAACGACAACATAAGATGGCCGCTACACCCTCAAAATGGAAACAAAATATTGTAATATTATTGAACAATGTGAAGAAAACGTCCGATGGCGGAAATTTGAAAAAAAAAGTGCTTGAAAATATTGCTAAGAAAAAAAAAATGGCTTTCAGAATTTCACTTAAACGACATTCGAGAAATACTACAAACAAAATAATTGAAATATTTGAAGCTGATATTGCGTCTAAAAACAAACAGGGAAAGGGAGTAAAACATTCAATAAATTGACAACAGAAATAAAAGAAGAATTAATTCCCACCCTCCAACCTCTCTCTCACAGGCGGGATGTGGCGAGTCTCTCACTGCTCTATCGCTATCACCATGGAAAGTGCTCGGACGAACTACATTCCTTGGTTCCGCCATGTCTAATCTTCACGGCTAAAACCCGCCATGCCAGGCACACTGTAGCGAACGACCCACTTACCTTCTGTATTCCTTTGGTGAGAAGTAAGTTCCACAATAAATGATGTTAGCTAGTGGAAATTTGAAAGAAAAGGCATTTAAGGTAAGTAATACCATCAATCAGCTAAGTCACAAATTTTAGTTGTATTTATCCCGCCTCTCTTTCTCTCTCTCTCTCTCTCTCTCTCTATATATATATATATATATATATATATATATATATAAGTCCATATAAACATGTCCTCAAATCCGTCGTTTACGAGTTATTAAGTTTAAAGAATGTTGCTTGGTGCGAGGAAACCGCCCCCAAAGTTTAAAAAAGTATTTTGATACACCCTTTATATATAAACTATACAACTACTGCCTCAAGGAATCTTGTTTTCCTGACTGCTGGAAGTTCTCTTCGATTGTTCCTGTCTTCAAGAACTCCGGCGACCCCTCTGACCCTTCCAACTACCGTCCTATCAGTCTCCTTCCCCTCTTCGGCAAAATCTTCGAAGCTCTAATCAATACCGGGGTGGTTAACCACCTCACATCCAATAATCTGCTCTCAGACAAGCAATATGGTTTCCGCTTTGCCAGATCTACAGCCGATGTGCTCACAGCCATCACGGAAACAGTCTACCGAACTCTCCAAAATAACGGGGAAGCCTGAGCCGTGGCACTAGATATCTCCAAAGCATTTGATAGGGTTTGGCACGCCGGCCTTCTCCGCAAGATCCAGGGTTATGGCATTACGGGTCAATTATATAACGTAATACAATCATTCCTGTCAAACCGTGAATTGAAGGTCGTTCACAACGGATTCTCCTCCAGTTCCTACCCCACGAACGCAGGAGTTCCTCAAGGCTCCATCCTAGGCCCCACTCTATTCCTTATCTATATAAATGACCTTCCTGACGCCGTAACTTCTCAAGTCGGCATCTACGCGGATGACACCACAATTTATTCCTGCCTCAAAAACAAATCCAGTCTCGCTGACAAAACTCACCTTGCCGTGCGCCTCGAAAAGGACCTCCAATCGATTGTGAACTGGGGCAAGATTTGGCTGGTCAACTTCAACGCTTCGAAGACTAAACTGCTCTCTATTAATCACCACAGAGAGCCTTCCCTTCCCTCCATTATAATGTCTGACGCTCAACTTCCCGAGAGCAACTCTCTGCGGCTTCTCGGTCTCACGTTGACTGCTGACCTGAGATGGAATAAATACATCGAGTCAATTGCCTCGTCCACTGCGAGGAAAGTTGGCTCCCTGAGCCGTGCTAGGAAGTTTTTCTCCCCTGAGTCGATCCTCCAGATATACAAATCCACAATTCGCCCTTGCATGGAGTATTGCTGCCATATATGGTCTGGCGCCCCTTCTGTTTGCCTCAGGGTTCTTGATAGGCTCCAGAGGCGGATATGTAATATGGTTGGCCCTACCCTGGCGTCTCGTCTACAGTCACTTTCTCACAGACGCACCGTCGCCTCCCTCTGTCTGTTCTACAAATACTTTCATTGAAATTGCTCCGATGAACTGCATTCGCTGGTTCCCAAACTTCATGAGTTCAAGCGCCCTACGAGGCTGGCATCCCGCTCTCACCCCTTCACTGTCGAAACTCATAAATGTAGCCGTCTCTACTACTCTAATAGCTTCATGTCTCGCACCTCTCGCCTGTGGAACTCTCTTCCCTTCTCCTGTTTCCCTGAGAGTTATAATCTCCAGCTATTCAAGTGTAATGTCAATCGACATCTCCAGTTGCCTTAATCTATCTACTACCCTCATCCTTTCTTCTATCACTCCTATCTGATCTTCCTATTTTCTGTAACCCCTTGCGTCCTAGTGGCTCCCCGCCTTGCTTGGGGTGAAATGCTTAAAAAAAAAAAAAAAAAAAAAAATATATATATATATATATATATATATATATATATAAAAATATATAAAAAATATAGAAAATAGGAAGGAACTGGTTAGGTAAATAATCCAAAGTCTTAGTATTTTAGTTATTATTTTTAAAAAATAGTGCTCGATACAAAAGTAGAGCATAAATATAATTATTTATTTAAAAATATGATTCCAATATATATTATATTGAAGTTTTCGGCTCTTGTTTTGAAACATGAGACCACTTATGTAGCGATTTGTAATCATATTTTAAATAAATAATTATATATATATATATATATATATATATATATATATTGATTACACATCATTTCTCTTATAAATGCCCTCGTTTTTAGTTTGCGCCCCCTTTTTCCCCTCTCTCTCTCATCTTCTCTTCTCTTGTATACATAAGGTTAGTAATGCAAAGCAGGCGGAAAATTTTCACATATACATCGGCAGTATGAATTGGCTGGATTTTAAGTTTAGATCATATTGTTTTTTATTGTGCGTAGTGTCACCACAAATGTATCCACACGTTTCCGGTGTCTGTTTTTTTATTTTAATTTTAGGTCAGCGAATCGGTAGCGATTTATGCATCTGAAAATAATTCATATTTATCTGTATCTCACTCATTTAAACCGTCATTTAACTCCTCTCTTTAAAACTTTTCACTGTTAAATTTTAATCTCCACCAGCACCTTTAGGCCTTTCCTGGTCTTTTTTGTTTTTTTTTTCTTATTCGTCCTTTGACAGGATTCGAACCTGCATCCTATACGGAATATATATCGAATCCTGTCAAAGGACGAATATTTTCTATAAAAATTTCTCGGACATTCAGGCCGGTAAATGTTATTTAATACTGTTTATTATAAACAGAGCATTTACTTAAATACTTGTATCTATAAAAAAGAACGTTAAACATAAAAATGTCTTTAATAAATAAATTGTCGGACTTTGTCCATTTCTTAATATATATATATATATATATATATATATATGTGTGTGTGTGTGTGTGTGTGTGTGTGTGTGTGTGTGTGTGTGTGTACTGCGGTGATCCCAAATCCGGTAATTATCTGGTTTAATGTCATAAAGCAAACATTTCTTTCAGATCGGTTGCCAAGGTAACGATGACGTTTCAATTTTTCATTGTACACAAATGAATGTTCCAAATGTAGATGGGATTTTTTTATGTGGGCGAGAAGACAACAAGAAAAGAAGCAAATGACAAAAGAATTGACACTTCTGAGGATGTCGACTTTTGAAGAAGAAGAAGAAGAAAAACGAAACATAAAGCAAGAAGAAGAGGAAGAAGAAGAAGAAGAAATCTATAGTGCGTAAAGAAATAGAATAGATAAAAGGAGGAGGGAGAGAAAGAAAGAGGGAAGAGGAAGAAGAAAAGGAAGACGTTTAAGAGGGAGAAGGAGGAGAAGATGGGGAAATCTATAGCGCATAGATAAGTAGTATAGATAGATAGATAGATAGATAGATAGAAGAAGAAGAAGAAGAAGAAGAAGAAGAAGAAGAAGAAGAAGAAGAAGAAGAAGAAATCTATATCGCAGGGCGGAAAGAAGGAAATAGTATAGGTAAAAGATGAGAGAGAGAGAGAGAGAGAGAGAGAGAGAGAGAGAGAGCGATCTAGAAGAAGACGCAGAAGGACTTTTACTGAAACAACAACAATGCAAAAGAAGTATAAAGCACAGTTCCTGGTTCAAACCACGCCGAAAGCATTAATTCTTGTCTAAGGCACAGTGGATAAAGGCGTTAGTTAGATCCAGTGACAGGACCAAAAGAATGTGAGTTCAATACCCGGTTAAGGCAGTGGAGAACTTTCAGAGGGAAATTAACAGGAGATAACTGATAACTGACATCCATTAAAACATAGCACGTGGAACTAGAACAGTCTACCCGAGTGAGCGAAATAAAGGGTTCAGTTCGACATTCCAACCACCTGAAGAAGGCCGGAGCGTACAACAGCCGAAACGTTGTAATAAATATGGCGACAAGGATGAGGACAATAGTCAGAATAATGTAAATTGTGTACATAATACCTCATCTCAGAAATATAGACAGATACTCAAAAGCCGAAACGTTGTAATAAATATGGCGACAAAGATGAGGACAATAGTCCGAATAATGTAAATAGTGTACATAATACCTCATCTCAGAAATATAGACAGATACTGAAGGATCGAATAAATATGGCGACAAAGATGAGGACAATAGTCCGAATAATGTAAATAGTGTACATAATACCTCATCTCAGAAATATAGACAGATACTGAAGGATCGGATAAATATGTCGACAAAGATGAGGACAATAGTCCGAATAATGTAAATAGTGTACATAATACCTCATCTCAGAAATATAGACAGATACTGAAGGATCGGATAAATATGGCGACAAAGATGAGGACAATAGTCCGAATAATGTAAATAGTGTACATAATACCTCATCTCAGAAATATAGACAGATACTGAAGGATCGAATAAATATGGCGACAAAGATGAGGACAATAGTCCGAATAATGTAAATAGTGTACATAATACCTCATCTCAGAAATATAGACAGATACTGAAGGATCGGATAAATATGTCGACAAAGATGAGGACAATAGTCCGAATAATGTAAATAGTGTACATAATACCTCATCTCAGAAATATAGACAGATACTGAAGGATCGGATAAATATGGCGACAAAGATGAGGACAATAGTCCGAATAATGTAAATAGTGTACATAATACCTCATCTCAGAAATATAGACAGATACTGAAGGATCGAATAAATATGGCGACAAAGATGAGGACAATAGTCCGAATAATGTAAATAGTGTACATAATACCTCATCTCAGAAATATAGACAGATACTGAAGGATCGGATAAATATGGCGACAAAGATGAGGACAATAGTCCGAATAATGTAAATTGTGTACATAATACCTCATCTCAGAAATATAGACAAATACCATGAAATTATTGCTAGAAAAGGCACAGAGAAGCTATGTTACAGCAATGGGAAAGTGCCTGAAGCCGTGATGCTAGGTCAGGACCAATATTATTGCAGAATCTTCTTTGTATTTCATCAAGAATTTCTAAATAGAGAACAGAAGTACCAGACCAGATGCGAAATTTCAGATTGGTTGCAAACCAAACATGAGCAGAACATTCTGCTCCACTATTTAATCCATAGCTGGGAGGGAAACAAAATATGAATTCATACGTTGTTTCATACTTTTATACTTGCGCGAAAGTGAATGCAACAAATTCGACTGTAATTCGAAACCGACGCGCCTATTTTTCGTTCTGAGTCGTTATTTGCACTAGCCGTACATTCATCCACTTTGAACTCTGGGGTAATTTTCCCCTATTACAAGGGCTATGGGCAACTCAAGGTAGAGGGTTACTAAATTAAAGCAGATAACGGTTGACGCTAGACTTGGGGTTAAGTTTATAGTGATCCCGGAAGTATCCTCTCGGGAGTCTGTTTCATAAAAAATAGCAGATAACGAGAAGAAACTATTTCAGTGGAACTTGCTTCTTAACAATGAAATGCGAAAAGAATGGGGTGGGGGGTGATTCGACCCTGTGTTTGTGTCATAGCGTGTCTTGGATGTAAAGGTCTGAACTAGTGGAATTAAGGAGCGGAACTCGTCAGAACATTTGCCATAGAAATAACAAAAGAGTAGCGATACGTTTTCGACTCTGGGAGAAAGGGTTGTAGGGTGGGAAATAATTCATTGGCCACAGCTTTTCCCTAGGCTTTCCGAGCTGTTCCTAGTGCTCTGATAACGTCTGGCAAGACGCTTTTGAACCCCCTTAAGGGTGGAAAGCGAGGATTGAAGAAAATAAGGAAAAGAAAAAAAAAAAAGATCAAGGTCAGGTATGATTCCTTTCTTTTTATTTACGACTACCAAATCCGAGTTTCTCGTTTCGATTGGATAATCCATATTCCTCTCAACTCCGCAGAAGGCGTTACATTCTCTACAAGCGATTTTAGTCAGTGCATATGTTGCGGGTTGTAGCTAAGTGAAAATGTATCAGAAAGTAATTTATGTAGGCAAAGATTATGCGTGCTTATTATGCATTATCCCACAACACGTAGATCAAATAAAGAATATAAGGACAATTTTCATTGCAAGAAATTACTAAAAACACAGTGGTTAGAGATCCAACAATAAAGAGATATTTATATATATACAATAGATATACATGCAAGGATAACAGAATGTTTGTTGATTGTGGCAATTGAGACAAGGTTATGTAGAATGTTCATGCAGAAATTTAATCAATAAAAGTTACTGGTTTTGATTTGTTAGTGAAATTAAAATAATTTGGTTTCTGCAAGGAAAAATCTCAAATGTGTTCGTTCAAATATTAGTGCGTATGCGTGTGTTACTTGTTAGACTTTAAGTTGTGAAGAGTTGTTTACCTTTAACTGTTTGGCTAAATTGATGAATTGTACAATTACTGTTTGTGTAGTGAAAACGTTCACTTTTTAAGTCAATTGTAATTTGATTACCACGCGGGCAATGGTCGATGGAGTGCTGTGTTGAGTTTGTTGAGAATTTGGAACTGATGTTGAGACAGTGAATTGACACGCGTGGAGTTTGGTAGCATCTCACGAAACTTACGGACTGACTGACTTGAATTGAGTCATGCGGCTGTTTATATAGACTTTAGTGTCTAAAAATCGGCTCCAGGGAGTTTCGGCGGGAAAAAAGATCTGTTTCGACTTTGCTACACTTTAGTGTTTCTTAACCAATAGAAGATTGAATTTACTGAAACGAAGTGGTGATTGGTTAAGGCTTTTTTCTTAGGGAAGAATACATCTTTCTGAAAAGAGTGGAAGGCTAATGTGAAAGATTCCACACATACACTATTTTCTATATGCTCAAAATGTAATCGCTTGCACAGTTCCTAGTGAATCACTCTTCTGACCCAATCATATATGCTGTGTTCTTTCTCGACTAAATTGCTTAATTCACTGGTTACGTTGTGGATTGCACTATCGTTATTATTTCATTCTTTGGATGTTCATATCAGCATCATTAAATGTCGGTTTGGTTTGGTTTGGTTTGTTTTATGGCATATCAACCTCAGTGGGTTATTTAATGCCGACAAGATTTTCATTGTTGGTAATATTTTTTCCAAAAATGTATTGCTGGTAATATTTTTTTTCTTCAAAATTCATTGCTAGTAATAATTTCTTTACAAAAATGTACTGTTGGTATTAAAACTTATTTTTAGACTTTCATAGTGCTTTGACCTCAGTTTGGAGGTTTATCTATTTGCCCAGAACTGGGACCCTAACAGGTGCTACCACCCGGAGCCAGGGTGGACCTTGGAACTACAGCAGTTAAGATGGGGTTCCACGCTTCTCAAAACCTCCTGAACAGAGGCTTTGCTATCGGATTAGTTTATCGTCTTACCCAGGACGCGGATGTAGTTTATCGTTTTTACTCAGGATGGAGTAAATGTCGGCTTCCGGAGGGGGATTAAATGCCGACAAATTTCCTCTAGCACTCTCCTTACTATTCTAGCGGTTTTCAAAAATAAGCCTTCCGTTTGGTTGGTTCCATCGCTTCCTGCAATTTATCGTTCCTCTCTTTTCTTTTCTAAGCTCATCCAGACCGCTCCTAGTGCGCTGATAACGACTGAAACTACTGTCAACTTCATAGAGCGTAACTTACCCAAATCTCTCTCAAAATAGATATACTTATCTATCTTCGATCTTTCGTACAGATCTCATCTGTGGTCATTTTGGTTTTTATTATTATTATTTTCATTATTATTATCATTATTATTATTATCAACATTATCATTATTATCATTATCATTATTATTATCATCATTATTATTATCATTATCATCATCATTATTATCATTATTATTATTATCAACATTATTATTATTATCAACATTATCATTATTATCATTATTATTATTATCATTATCATTATTATCATTATTATTATCATCATTATTATTATCATTATTTTCATTATTATTATCATTATTATTATTATCAACATTATTATTATTATCACCATTATCATTATTATCATTATTATTATCATTATTATCATTATTATTATCATCATTATTATTATCATTATTTTCATTATTATTATCATTATTATTATTAACATTATTATTATTATTATCAACATTATCATTATTATCATCATTATTATTATCAACATTATTATCATTATTATTATCATCATTATTATTATCATTATTTTCATTATTATCATTATTATTATTATCAACATTATCATTATTATCATTATTATTATTATCATTATCATTATTTTCATTATTATTATCATCATTATTATTATCATTATTTTCATTATTATTATCATTATTATTATTATCAACATTATTATTATTATCACCATTATCATTATTATCATTATTATTATCATTATTATCATTATTATTATCATCATCATTATTATCATTATTTTCATTATTATTATCATTATTATTATTATCAACATTATTATTATTATTATCAACATTATCATTATTATCATTATTATTATTATTATCAACATTATCATTATTATCATTATTATTATTATCATTATTATTATTATTATTATTTGATTTCCTCTCCAGCTCTTAGATGTTTCGACCGGATGATGATGACCATAGGTCTCTTCAGGGTAGTACCTTACCGGGTCATTACTCAAAACCTAGGGTAAGGCCACGTAGTTAGTCTATGCATTCTATTTACACTATTTACCTTGTTGGGGCTGTTGATCTCATCTTTATTGTCATATCCAAGAAGTTTCGGTCGTTGTACGGCTCTGTCCTTCTTCAGGTGATATACGGCGGAATTTCGAACCCTTTACTTCATCCACGGAGGTAGATTATTCTAGTTCCGCGTGCCATGCCCTTTCTGGATATCTCAGTTTCAGTTATTTCCTTTTAGTAACTCAACTCTGCAAGTTTTTTTTTGTTCATCTCTGCTGTCGCCAGGTATTGAACTCACAACACTTTAAGGCTTTTTTTTAAGCATTTCATCCCAAACAAGGCGGAAATGTGGGGTTACATAGAGTGAAGGTGAGAGAAAAACTGAGAAAGGATAAAAGATGTACGGGGTTCAAGACATCAGAATTATGCAGAAGGCACTGGTTCCCATTCAATCACCGGAGTTAAGCAGCATTGAACCTGGTTACTACTTAGATTGGGGACTGCTTGGTAATGGCAGAGGTGATATCATTTTGATATGATTCAAACATTAATGACACCACCAGTGTCTTATTGTCAAAACTACTTGAATCTTACACAGGGAAGACAGTCTCCAGTTATCTTGATTGGATCAGGGATGTCTGATGTTGAAAGTTCATAAGCTATGAATAACTATAAGCAATTGTGTAGGTACCCGTGGGCTTCCAGAGGCTGTGTCGGGGATCATCTCATCCACCAAAGCCTGTTTGGTGACTGTCCCCATGCAGTGAGTAGGAAACGCCTCTTCTCTTTCTCACGTCCCTCCTTACATACTGTCACCTCCAGTTAAAAAGCCTGGCTTCTCTGGCTCTCTTAGCCTTGACTTGCAACCAATGTAAGAGAAGGAAGACTGGCTAGGCAGATGTGCAATAAGAGCATTCTTTGCATCAAAGTTTGTTTTGGTGTTCATTTACTGCAACTGGTTCACCAGACCACCTTACCACTAGATCTTGGTAAAGGGTATAAAGAGGGCCAAGTGTGGGCCTGTGCAATCACTTACCTAAAAAAAAAAATCCAAAATCCTCTGCTCATGCCTATTAGGGCAAGTCATTTTTAAAACTGTGATATTGCACTCAATTTGAAAGTTGATGTTTGACATGATAAATAATGACTCAAAATATTTTTTTCCAAATTGTTATTGATTTTTGAGGAAACAAGTTTAAAGATTAAGTTTAGGTTCAGAAGATGGCGATTGACGTTGCATTTAAATTTTTGAAGATTGTAGTTATCCGGGAAGCAAGTAAGGGAATTTCACATGCGGGAAGTGCGAGAAAAGCTGTTGGAATAAAAGTGGTAATAAAAGGGTGGGACCTAAATGCCAATCTAGTAGCACGTTTCAATATATATAGTCGAGTCACCAGAGAAAAAAGAAAAAGATCGACAGAACAGTAGCTATGGAAATATTTGTAAAACAGACAGAGGGAAGCTGCATAGCGTCCGTGAAAAAGTGACTGAAGTCGAGATGCCAGGTCAGGACCGATTACATTGCAGATCCTTCTTTGGATTTTGTCGAGAACCTCGAGATGACCGGCGGGGGCACCAGACCAGATATGGCAACAGTATTCAACGTAAGGATGAATGCTAGATTTGTAAATATACAAGATGGACTCTAGCCAACGCTTTTATTAACGTCGAGGATATGACACTAAAGATGAGGACAACGGTCAGAACAATGTAAATAGTGTAAACTAATTACAATACCTCATCTCAGAAATATCGACAGATGTCTATGCATTCTGTTTGCATAGATTCTCATCTTAAGTATTACTCAACGTGTAGAGTTTATACTGCAATTACATTCAGGATACCCTCCTGCGTATTTCCACACGGGAGATTAGTTTTGGAGGCACGGTGGAGCAATGGTTAGCGGCTTGGACTAAAGAATCGGAAAGCTGAGTTCGAATTTCAGTCAACTCCATTACATTCACTTACTTTCTTTCTTTCTTTCTTTCCTTAGGAAAAAGTATGAATCCATCTCATCTCCTCCCAGCTATGGGTAAATAGCAGGACAGACTGGGTCCTATAGCCTTGGGTGACTACCGGTCTAGGAGAAAGACAACTCTGAATAGAAAACCTGAGAGTCTAGCGTACGGACTGAGGGAGACTCACACCATATTCTGTGATTTTCGGCTGTAGCTTAAGAGTTTGGAGATGAGATGGGCGCCGCCAAGCTCTCTGAAATGATCATGAGGACGAAGAATCAAAGTCTGTTTCTTTTGCCTTCAGGTCCGCACTCTCATCGATTGAAGTAATCAGAGATCAGATGAAGATGATGATAATGTTGAAACAGCATCTGCCAGAAATCTTTTTATGTGCTTGACTGTACCTTTCTTGACCGTATTATTTCTTTCTTTCTTTCTTTCCTTCCTTCCTTCCTTCCTTCCTTCCTTCTTTGTTTGTTTATTTCTTTCTTTCGCCATGTTTGATTATTTGTTACGCATTGTTTGGTTGTTTCTTTCTTTTTCCTGTACTTCGCCTTTTTTGTTTGTTTGCTTGTTTGTGTCTTTCTTTCTTTCTTTCTTTCTTTCTTTCTTTCTTTCTTTCTTTCTTTCTTTCGCCTTGTTTGTTTGTTTCTTTTTCCTTTTCTTCGCCTTCTTTGTTTGTTTGCTTGTTTTTGTGTTTCTTTCGCCTTGTTTGATTGTTTCTTTCTTTTTCCTTTATTTCGCCCTGTTTGTTTTCTTGTTTTTGTGTTTCTTTCTTTGTTACTTTCTTTCTTTCGCCTTCTTTGATTGTTTCTTTTTTCTTTTCTTCGCCTTGTTTGTATATTTGCCTATTTCTTCCTTCTTTTCTTTCTTACGTCTCGTTTGTTTTTATCTTTCATTCTTTCTTAGGCCCTGTTTGTTTGTTTGTTTGTTTGTTTGTTTCTTTCTTTCTTTCTTATGCTTTGTTTGTTTTTATCTTTCATTCTTTCTTACGTCTTCTTTCTTTCTTTCGCCTTGTTTCTTTATTTTTCTTTTAAGAATTATTTCTTTTTCTTTCTTTTTTTTTCTTATGCCTTCTTTCTTTTTTTCTTTCTTACGCCTTATTTGTTTGTTTATTTCTCATTATTTCAATCATTTGAATCTTCAAGTCAGGTGTCTGGTGACTGAGTGACAGCACAATTTCTTTAAATCATAAGCACCTTCCTCAGTATCCTCTTAGAGAGCAACGCCAAGGTTTAGACAATCCCAATTCTTCCCTTCATCTCACCAACTTTTTACTCTGTCAATACCAATTATAGTGATTCCGTTATTCTGGAGTCGATCGTTCCCTTTGTGTCCCACAGGCTTTTAGTTTCCTGGTAAATTTTTTTAGCCGAGTTCGAATTTTAGTCGAATCCATTACATTTACTTAGGTGCTAATATCCTTGGGAAATCCTCTTCTTCTCCCTCCAGCTAAGGGTAAATAGCAGGACAGTCCAGGTTCTATAACCTTGGATACCGAAGAAAGAAATGGCAACCTACTGCGGGAAAAATCTGCCTGGTCAGTCATGAAGGATACATGATCGCCTATCACGCATGGCAAATAACTGACTGAATAGCGGCTCGGATTGTGGAATCGGAGAGCCGAGTTCGAATTCCAGTTGAATTCATTACATTCACTTACGTACTAATACTCTTGGGAAAGGTACGGATCCTCTTCTTTTCCCACCAGGTAAGAGTAAATAGCAGGACAGACCGAGTTCTATAGCTTTGGATAGCAACTGATCGGAAAGCTTAGTTTGAATTCCAGTCGAATCCATTACATTCACTTACGTGCTAATACCATTGCGAAAGGTATGACTCTTCTTCTTCTCTCCCCATCTATGGGTAATTAGCAGGACAGACTGGATAAAAGAAAGGAACAGTAAGATATATATATATCCGGTGTTCTTATTGATATTTTTATTTTTACAAAACAGTGCTCAATGTAAATTTAGAGAGCATAAATATTATAAATTAACTGATTTAAAATATGGTTTCTTCGCTACACAGGAATTACCATGTTTCAAAAACCGAAGCTTAAGACGTTAAGTTTAGGGAGGGTAGGGGTGCATTTTTCGACTAATTAGGATGGCAACTGGTCTACCGCAGAAAGAAATGGCAACCTACTGCGGGAAAAATATGCCTCGTCAGTCATGTATCGAAAGATACAGGATCGCCTAAGCGTATATCACACATGGCACATAACTGACTGAATTATGGTTAGCCTCTTAGCTTTTCTTACACCATTTTTGTCACCTTTTTTTTGGTAAAATTTCAATTTTTATTTCTTTGATTTGATTTGTCTTCGTCCTTTCATTTTTAACATTTATTTTTCTTCGAATTCTGACTGAATCTTCTTGTTTTCTTTTTTTTGCAGGCATTCTTTAAAAATTCGGCAATTTTTACTTCCTCGTTCTTTTCTTTTTATTTTTTTTTGTTTGCATATTATTATTATTATTATGATTGTTGTTGTTGTTTTTGTTGTTGTTTTTGTTGTTATTACCGTTGTTGTTGTTTAAGTCTTATTTGTTATGCGGAATAACTTTGATTTATAAGTTCTGCCATTTCACTCGACTCTCCCTACACAAGCTTTATTTTACTCAAAGGAGCACTAAATGTGGAAAGAAATTGTCATATTTGGTCGCTGGGGCGAGATATGAAAAATTACTACGCGCTCTCAACCAGATTCCGACTCCAATGACGCCAAGTATTAAAAAACAATAATAAAAAGAATATTTTAAAACAATTGGTAAAAAAACCCCAAAAACCAAAAAAAAACAAAAAAAACCAAAAAAAAAAAACAAACAAACCAAAAAAACCCCCAAAACCCAACGAGAACCTTGGAAATGAGCAAATAAAATAAATGAAGGAAGAAAAAGATGATGATGATGATGGCGTTGGTGGTGGTGGAAATGAAATGAAAAGAAAATAACAACAACAACATGAATGAATCGAACAATAGAAAATAAAGTAAAACGGAAGAAAATATAGAATTTAAAAAAAGGAAGAAAAAATGACTCAAACGAACATCTTGTCATTCTTTTACTAAATCTCACCCGATACAAGCCCTAAGAGCCACTCAAAATAGAGTGTTCGATTTGATAATGATGAGTAAGTTATAAGACATGAGTAGAAGAGAAGATAGTAGGAAGTAACAATTATGAGGATAAGGAGGATAGAATAACGCTTGACCCTTGACTTGAAGTGTTTAGGCAGTGTTAGTGTTTAGGCAGTGTTAGTGTTTACGAAATACTGACGCGAGTGACCGTGAAACAAAGTGGAATTTCTTTTGATAAAAAAAAAAAAAAAAACTGTCTATATCTCTGCGCTGAGGTATTATGATTACTTGAATTACTTGGATTATTCAGAATGTTATCCTCATCTTCATTGCCATATTCACAACGTTTCGGCCGTTGTACGCTCCAGCCTTCTTCGGGTGATTGGATCTCTGCGCTGAGGTATTATGATTACTTGAATTATTTGCATTATTCGAACTGTTACCCCCATCTTCATTGCCATAATCACAACATTTCGGCCGTTGTAGACTCCGGCCTTCTTCAGGTAATTGGAATTTCGAACCAAACCCTTTATTTCGTCTACCGAGGTATATTGTTCTAGTTTCACGTGCCATGCCTCTTCCGGATATCTCAGTTATTTCCCTTTAACTCAACTCTACAAGTTTTTGGTTCACCAATTCTGAGGCTTGGTAGAGAACTCACAACTCTTTGCGTCTAGTCACTGGATCTAACTGACCTATGTGTCTCCAAGGAAGCATGGCCCAGTGGATAAAGACGTTGGTTAGCTCCAGTGACTAGACCCAAAGAGTTGCACGAAATAAAGGTTTCGAAATTCCAATCACCTGAAGAAGGCCGGAGCGTATAACTGTCGAAACGTTGTGAATATGGCATTGTAGATGAGGATAACATTCCGAATAATGTAAATAATGCAAGTTTAAAAAAAAAACTGTGTGAGTGGAACTTTCTTTATACATTTAGAACACGGAAGAAATGATTCTGCTGGGTGGAAATAGGATGGTGTGTCCTAGCAGTAAGTCTGGAAAAGGACGAATGTGTAGCTTCAAAGCAGATATGGCAGCAAAATTCCATTTTTGATAAGTGTGGCAGAAGGTGTCAAGTACTTACTGGAAGAATAGAATGAAACGACCATTGTCTTTTCGGCATCTTTAACAATGGATTGCGTTTTCGAATACCATTTGGAGTCTGGATTGAACATGAGACCTAATAGCCAATCAAGGCCTGAATTCTCATTTACAGCTCAACAATTCATTACGACTGAAGAAATGTTTTATACTAAAATTCAACGTCTACAATACTTAATAGCCATTACAGAAGGGTGGTTACTGTTAAAGTAATAATGATTGATGAGGTGTGGGACATGGATGAAAGAGAAAATAATAGAATGTGAAGATGATGAGGATGAGGAGGATAGACAACGAATGACACTTCATTTGAAGGCGTGGGACATAAATGAAAAAGAAGGTATACCCTTGTGCAAATTAATTGAAACAACCGCTTTAATTTCCTTTCTTTTCACCATACTGTGACCCCCTGGAAAGATTTTTTTTCTCAGATTAGTTCATTTCCAGTGGTGTGCAGTAATATGAATCTATTTTCGGGGTGCATGGTGACATTTGGCCTTGAAAAATATTGCGCCATCCGTGATTGCATCAGATTTTTATCACGCCCAGACACTTTTGACTTGACTGTCGATTAGATGTCTTACGACCATAGTTAACGAAAATTGTAACTCTGCACGAACACACCAGTGATCAAGTCAAATTACTATAGACTGGCCTGGAAACTCTTCTGATTTAAATCTAATCGAGAATCTGTGGTCAATCCGCAAGGAAAGACTTCGTGGAATGGACATACGAAGTACTAACATGTCCACTGGGAAATGTTTCATTGGAAAAATACGAACAAAAAAAATAAAGTAATTATTCGTTTTGCTCCAGGTAATTTCCACAAGGGTGTAATAAAGGGTGTTCCAATAATTTGGACCGATTTTTATATGAATTAAGTTTAGCGTCTCGAGATGTTTTTTTTATCTTTTTCTTTCAAATTTGGCGGATATTTGGGAGATATTATTTTTCACACATAATTACCATGACTTAAATATTATGATCCAACAGAGAAATAAATAAATTTTCACCAATAACACAGATTTATTTACTGCTGACTTTGATCCGTCTTAATGAAACACATATATATATATATATATATATATATATATATATATATATATATATATATATATATATATATATATAATAAGTCTTAATGAAACACTCTTTAGAATGTGAAGATTATGTGGATGAGGAAGACAGATAACGAACGACCCTTCATTTGAAGAAATTATGTGACACAAAGCGGCAATTCGTGCGGGGAAAAAAAACTGCGTCCACTTTTCTTACATTTGAAACAGGGAAGAGATAAGGCTGATTCGACTCCGTGGAAATAGTATGAAGTGCCCCAGCAATAGATGTCAGAACTGGTGGGAATATATTTGCAGTAGCCCAAAGGAATTATGACACCAATGCAGAGTGGAGCAAAAACAGAACAAGAAAGAATGAATGATGACTCAACTAAAGAAAAGATCTCATCGGATCTGACGAAAAAATAATTCGCGTACATTTGACACACGTCTACAATGTATTGCGCACACAGGGAGGATCGAACCCAGTACTAACAGGCAGCTTATCTCACCTACTGTTAGCCCACCAAGAGGTATCCAATAATCCACCTATAAAACGTAGTGTGTATCTGTCTATAAAATACTTGAACATGGACTTTGGACAATTTAACCATAATTTTAATCCTGATGTACAACTTCATACTCAAAAATTGGAAAAATACAGTCAAAAATTAAACGGACATACTAATTTCTAACGTAACAACCCTGCCTGTTGCAGTTCTGTCCTGTCTCCCTGATGGTTCTGTCCGAAAAAGAAATCCACCCGATCTTCCTCCGGTGAACTGAAGGAACCACCACTATTTGCCACGTTGTGAATTCTTGATCAGAAGAGCAGTATATCGATCTCCCCAGAACGATCCGGTGGGAAGGGGAGGAAATGGCTGGGTATTTCGCTAAAAGGAAATCACTATTCATGCAGCAAAAGTTTCTTGTCGTAGCCGCAGACACATGAAAAAGAAAAAAAATAAGCAACTCCTGTTCCTGTACAAAGGGCCCTATTTAGGCCACTGTTTTTTATGTCTCTACCGAAGAATTTACACGAGTACAAAATGTCGTAACGAGATTCACTCGTTTGGGTCGGAAAGTCACAGAGAGAGAGTAGGAAAATTTCTGCCTAAACAATTTCGGCTGATCTAAGGGAAGTAATTCGTGGATCTTCGTCTGCACCCTACGATATAGCAGTCTGCTTTCTCGCAGCCTTGTTGACGAAGTTATCTGGATTCGTACGGGTTCTATTTCGATCTCTTGGTTCGGATCGGTCTTCTTGACACAGGGCAACCAACAGACCAGACCAACAAATTCCAATAAGCTGCCTCTTCAGCGTTCTGATCTCCGAACTCCGAACTCATCTGACTAATTCAAGCGTGCGGGCAGCTTATATAGAGAGAGACGGAGCTAAACCATCTTTAGGCACCGCCCCCGAATTTTAATATGCAAATCGCCTGGACCATCATGTGTTTCCGCCTAATTTCCGGATCTCCATGGGCAACCAGTTTTCAACAGGTACTAAAATCGGATTCGGACCTCCTGCTGGGTCTTTCGTAGACAACGTATACTTAAGTTTTGCCAAAACCACTGAACCCGTCTGGTTGAATTTCGCCATTCAGACCACCCAAAAGTACAATTCGCCATTTATCACAAACTTTACTTGAACGAATCCGTCTCTTAACCACTTTAGAATTATTACATTTAATTAACTAATAACTCAACGCCAGAAACAATTATTAAGAGAAAAAAATAAACTTATTTCTGGAATTACTCCGGAATCCCTTCTACCCAAGTAATTAGCACCTTCATTCTAATTCTTTAGCACTGTTGATTACTAAATCCACCTCGGGGTGGGGCTGCGTCTCTCTCTCTATCTCTATGTCACAATTAGAGATGTTTCGATGAATTCGTGCTTCCAAAATATACTCTCTTTCTCTCTCTCTCTCTTTCTCTCTCTCTCTATATATATATATATATATATATATATATATATTATTAGGTTAATTGCAAAATAATGACGTAATAATGTCGTTTTTGACGTTAAAAATACGTCAAAAAACGATATTATTACGTCATTATTTTTGCACCAACCTAATATTATAATTATTTTTTTAAAATATTCCTTCGCTACATAAGAGTTCTCATGTTTCAAAAACAGGAGCAAAAAACTTCAATTTAACTATAAAAATTAAATTGAATTAAAGTATCAAGCTCTGCTTCATCAACATGTAATGTAGGACCCAGTCTGTCTTGCTATTTTACCCAAAGCTGGGCATTATACAAGGAAATTTCAAATTCTAAGCATTTCAAGAGATATTGTTTATATCATTTACATGCTGACTATTCTGCTGATCTTTGTTCTTATTGTTACAACGTTTCAGTCCTTGGGTCATCTGCTTGTCAATCCGAATAATCTTTAAGGAATTTCCAACTGAACACTTTATTCCATCTACGGGGTAGATTGTTCTCGATCCATTGACAGGCCTAGGAATATCTCGTTTTGTTTTAATGAGTCGGCAGCCATCAAATATGTATGTATGTATGTCGGTAGGTAGGTATGTATGTACGTACGTATGTATGTATGTACGTATGTATATATGTATGTATGTACGTTTGTATATATGTCCGTACGTATGTATGTTTCTATGTATGTATGTACGTATGCATGTACGTATGTATGTATGTTCGGCTTGGTTTGCTTTGTTTTACGGTATATGAACCTCAATGGGTTATTTAATGCCTAGAGGATTTTTATTGCTGGTAATAATTTTTTTTCAAAGATTTATTGCTGGTAATAAATTTTCCAGAGTATTTCTAGTATTAAAACCTATTTTTACACTTTCGTAGTGTTTTAACCTCAGTTTAGGAGTTAACTATTTGCCCATAGCTGGGACCCTAACAGGTGCTACCACCCCGGTTCAGGGTGGACCTGGGAACACTATCAATTAAGAGGTGGTTCCATGCTCCTCAAAACCTCCTGATCAAAGGCCTCTCTGTCGGATGTAGTTTATCGTTTTACCCAGGACGCGGATGTAGTTTATCGTCATACCCAGGACGCAGATGTAGTTTATCGTCTTACCCAGGACGCGGATGTAGTTTATCGTCTTACCCAGGACGCAGATGTAGTTTATCGTCTTACCCAGGACGCGGATGTAGTTTATCGTCATACCCAGGACGCAGATGTAGTTTATCGTCTTACCCAGGACGCGGATGTAGTTTATCGTCATACCCAGGACGCGGATGTAGTTTATCGTCATACCCAGAACGCAGATGTAGTTTATCGTCTTACCCAGGACGCAGATGTAGTTTATCGTCTTACCCAGGACGCGGATGTAGTTTATCGTCATACCCAGGACGCAGATGTAGTTTATCGTCATACCCAGGACGCGGATGTAGTTTATCGTCTTACCCAGGACGCGGATGCAGTTTATCGTCTTACCCAGGACGCGGATGTAGTTTATCGTTATACGGATGTACGTATGTACGTATGTATATATGTATGTATGTACGTATGTAAATATATGTATGTACGTATGTATGTATGTACATATGTAGGTATGTCTGTACGTATGTATATATGTATGTATGTATGTACGTATGTATATACGTATGTATGTACGTATGTATATATGTATTGGGCACGTGGCCGAGTGGTTAGAACGTTCCCATTCTGACCTTGGGGGTCATCGATAACTGTGGTAGCCCGGAGCTACGAGTAATCGTAGCGGAGGGCTTGCTCAAATTTTTGAACAAGGCCAGCACGATAGATAAAACGCTCTTTTCCAGAAATTGTAACTAATCCCCGCTCGGTATGGTTGCAATTGAAGTCTGTGTGTTTTGAACAAACACAAATATGCCTGAGCAAGTGTCTACGACAGGGATTGTCTAGCTGCCTTAGAAATCACCATGAAGTGTTCGTTTTGGCGTGATCTTTCTCAGTAACTATTAGTCTTCCAACATCTATCTATCTATCTATCTATCTATCTATCTATCTATCTATCTATCTCAGCCTGTTCATTATCTATCTATCTATCTATCTGTTGTAGTAAACCCTCTTACAGTTTAATGAACTCTTCCTCTCATAAATACAAACTGCGAGAGTCGGATGAGAAGAGGGTAAGTGGAGTTGAGTAGTAGACGCAGTACTAATCTACTTATTACTAACACTATTGTTTTGTATATATCTTCAATATACTTTTTCAACCTACCTTCGTCTTCCGTGTCTTTCTTTCTAGCCCCTAAACAGACCACAACCCTATCTATCTATCTATCTATCTATCTATCTATCTATCTATCTATCTATCTATCTCAGCCTGTTCATTATCTATCTATCTATCTATCTATCTCAATCTTCCCATATCTATCTATCTATCTATTCATCTATCTATCTATCTATCTATCTATCTATCTATCATCTATCTATCTATCTATCTATCTATCTATCTATCTATCTATCTCAATCTTCCCATATCTATATATCTATCTATCTATCTATCAGTCTGGTTACTATCTATCTATCTATCTATCTATCTATCTATCTATCTATCTATCTATCTCTTCCCATATCTATCTATCTATCTATCTATCTATCTATCTATCTATCTCAATCTATCCCAATCTATTCCCATATCTATCTATCTATCTATCTATCTATCTATCTATCTATCAGCCTGGTTACTATCTATCTATCTATCTATCTATCTATCTATCTTCCCATATCTATCTATCTATCTATCTATCTATCTATCTATCTATCTATCAGCCTGGTTACTATCTCAGAAATTGTTCATAAATTATTATTACCTTGTGATCGACAAATTGACAATGTTTCTTAACACTATTAAAAAACCTTCCTTCTTCACGCTCTTTTCTTCTTTTTTCTTCCATTTCTTCTACCGCACCTATTTCTTTGTAGTTGCATATTACCTCTTTCTTTCTTTCCTTCTTTCTTTCTTTCTTTCTTTCTTTCTTTCTTTCTTTCTTTCTTTCTTTCCGAGCGAATGAATGGTGTTATTGCGTTGACATATTCCATCTATCAAGTCGAGAAATCTGAACAGTAATTCCACCCACTGCCAAGAGATGGTCTCATCATCTTCGTCTCCGCCATGTTCGTCCGTCAGTCCACGTAATGACCACAAAAACCGGCATTCGTTTCTCGCGGCCCATAATCAAAATTGATTTTGTTGCATCCTTCAAAAGCTTCCCTTCTCTTTACAGTTCGTCACACGAACACACGCCTTCGCCAATTGGGCATCGCTTCCTTTTCTCTTATTTCGTTGCATTTTCATCTTTTCTTTCATTTCTTTCTTTCTTTTAATTTTGCTGTCTTTCGTTTTTTTATTTTTTCACTCAGTTTCTTCATGTTAATTCCATAACGGTATTTCTATTGTTTTTTAATTTGTTTTTTTTTTGTGTTCTTTCTTCATACGGATATTTCTTTCTTTTGTTCTCTTCTTCGTCATTTCATCGTTACTTATCTCTTTCTTTCTTTTATTTATCTTTCTATCTTTTTTTCTTTATTTCTCATGAATCTTTGGTTTCTTTCTTTCTTTCTTTCTTTCTTTCTTTCTCATAATTCGTTGTTCTTTCTTTCTCATGATTCTTGTTCTTTCGTTCTTTTTCGTGTTTCGTTGTTCTTTCTTTCTTTTTTCTTTCTTTCTTTCTTTCTTTCTTTCTTTCTTTCTTTCTTTCTCATAATTCGTTGTTCTTTCTTTCCTTCTTTCTTTCTTTTTTCTCATGATCCGTTGTTCTTTCTTTCTTCTTTCTTTCTTTCTTTCTTTCTTCTTTCTTTCTTTCTTTCTTTCTTTCTTTCTTTCTTTCTTTCTTTCTTTCTCATGATCCGTTGTTCTTTTATTCTTTTTTTCTTTCTTTCAAATCCGTTTGAAAATAGTTTTTCTATAATTTCCCCATGTTTTCTGTATATATTTTATTCATTTCCACAGTTTTTCTTCATCTCCCTTTTTTTTCTTTACTGATTTTTTTTCCTTTTTACGCTTGGCCTTTCTATTTCGTTTTTCTTACATTCTCCGCTTCTCTCTTCTTTTTTCTATCCTTTTTTCCTTATATCATTCTTTCATCTCTTCTTTTCTTCACGTTCTTTCATTTTCTTTCATTTTTTCGTTCAAGTTAAACCATTTTCCTGTTAAGCTATTTCTCTTCTTTCTTTCTTTCTTTCTTATTTTATTTCTTTCTTTCTCATAATTCGTTGTTTTCTCTTCCTTTCTTTCTTTCACTGGGTTCTTTAGCTATTCTTTCTGATATTTCATTTTTGCTTCTATCTTTAAACTTTTTCTTTCTTACGTTTTTCTCTTTTCTTTCTTTCTTTTACCTTGAATATTTCAATCATTCGTTCATTCATTCATTCTTTCTTTCACTTGATTCTATACCCTTTTTCAAACTTCATTTTTCCTTTTTACATATTTCTCTCTCACTCTTTCTTTCTTTCTTTCTTTACCCTTTCTCAAACTTCATTTTTCCTTTTTACATATTTCTCTTTCTTTCTTTCTTTCTTTCTTTCTTTCTTTACCCTTTCTCAAACTTCATTTTTCCTTTTTACATATTTCTCTTTCTTTCTTTCTTTCTTCCTTTCTTTCTTTCTTTACCCTTTCTCAAACTTCATTTTTCCTTTTTACATATTTCTCTCTCTTTCTTTCTTTCTTTCTTTCTTTCTTTCTTTCTTTCTTTCTTTCTTTCCACAATACCGTAACATTTATACTTTATTCTTCTTGCTTTTAATCTAATTCCTACAGCCCGGATCCACCCCACTTTACTCCTCAATTCATTTTTATTGAAGTTGAAAATGTCAAGATGTTCGGTGTATTTAGAACAAAAGCCTTCTTACAAATGACATGCTCACCCTAATTGATTCTGCCTTTTGCAGTAGTTTTCATAGTTGTCACTTTTACCGATTATTTATTATCTCCAATTCTTTTTATGTCTTTTGATTTCCTCTTTCGCTTCTGCCGATTCTCTTTATGACGTTCGGTTCCTTCAGCTCGTTGCGAACACCTCGTATTTTGCAGCTACACTTGCTCCGTTGCCTTTTAGACAAGTTTTCAAATAATTGCTGTTCTCTTTATAGCGTGTGTATCACATTACAATTCATAAAGATCTTCTCCGAAAGCCAGTTTTAGTTTCATTTCTGTATACGAAATGATTTTGGCTATTGGCACCATTCGCTCTTAAATTCCGTCTAAATAGAAAAAGGTAGAAAAAATAAGTTAGTATTAATACTGTTTCTATCTAAATAACAGCAAGTTAGCCCAGAAGGAATATAAAATTGGCATGACTGGATACAGGGAATTCATGGGTAACTGTTCAAGCGACTCTGAATTTCACACACACACACACACACACACACACACACACACACACACACACACACACACACACACACACACTGCACAATTTAATATATATATATATATATATATATATATATATATATATATATATATATACATATATATATATGCATTGAATTGTGCAGTATATATATTATATCATAAAGAGTTAACCATACAACAAAAATTATTCATTCAAACAAAAATTCTCACTTGGAATATTTAATTAATAACTCTAGCGTTGCGACACAGCACATTCTAAAACTATATAGCTGCCAATAAATTATATATTAAAAAAAACAAAACATCTTTCGTTTTTACACTAAATATATTTCGTCTTGGAGTTTACCTGTAAAAGGAAAATTAGGCCCCGAGGATGAAAATGTGAAATTTTCGAAAGTACTCGGGCACAGCAACAACAATTCTGATAACATCTTAAACCTAAAGATCGCGTTATTCAATAAATTGTTAGTGAGTTGAGGCTTTATTAAGTCTTGTTAGCAAAGAGATTTCGCGATTAATTAAATTAACATTACGAATTAATTCTTTGTATGATTTGTATATATATCAGGTCATCCTATAAGTTCTGTCCGAATTTTAACTTTTTGTTAAAATGAACGAAATTTAAAGAGTATTTGATAATGTCTAATGGAGCTGAACATTATTTTTATGTTTAGATGCATTTAAACTAATCAAATTTTATTTCAGAGAACAATAAAATTAAATTTTGTTTGATTAAAACCCTGCTAACATGGATGTACCCAAGAATCATCTGAGGCACATAATGCTTTATGAGTTCAAGAAAGGAAACTCAGCAGCCGAAGCGGCTAGAAACATTCACTCAGTTTATGGAGAGGAATGTGTGAATGAAAGAACTTGCAGAAGATGATTTGCAAAATTCAGAGGTGGAGATTTCATCCTTGAAGATGAAGATCGAACCGGACATCCAGTTGAGTTTGATGAAAAGCTTCTTGAAGCAGCCCTTGAAGAAAATCCTGCTTTATCAGTTGAGGAATTGGCAGTGGTTCTCAGTTCAAACCATACAACTGTTCATCGTCATCTTCAACAACTTGGAAAAGTTCCTAAACTTGGAAAATGGGTGCCTCATGAATTGTCTGAAAACAACTTCAAATCCCGAGTCGACATCTTCTCTTCTCTCCATTCTCGCCAACCTGTTTCACCTTTTTTGGATAGACTTGTGACGAAAAATGGATCTTTTATCGAAATGTTAAGCGTCGTAGACAGTGGCTTGGTAAAGGAGAAGGACCCCAACCACAGCCGAGAAAGGAACTTCATGGGCAAAAGGTTCTTCTTTCAATCTGGTGGGATCGCCAAGGAATAATCCACTTTGAATTCTTACCACCTAATGCAACAATTAATGCTAGAATATACTGTCAACAATTAGAACGTTTGAATCAAGCTTTGAGGAAAAAAAGACCTGCTCTAGTGAATCGAAAAGGGGTGATGTTTCATCAGGACAATGCACGACCCCACACAGCAAGAATCACGTCACAAAAGAGCGAAGAACTTGGTTGGGAGAAAATTCCTCATCTACCTTATTCTCCCGATCTTGTTCCTTCAGACTACCATTTGTTTCGTAGCTTACAGAATCATTTGGAAGAAACAGCTTTTGTAACACAGGAAGAGATTAAAACTGACATTTGTGAGTTCTTCGAATCAAAGCCAAAAGAATTTTACAGTAATGGAATTAGTAAGCTTGTTAATAGATGGAAGGAAGTCATAGATAATCAGGGAAAATACATTGTTGATTGAATCTGTAATTAAATGTAACATTTGGTCACTTGTTTTCTTTATTCAAAATTCGGACAGAACTTATGGGATGACCTGATATATTTACCTAAACATTCAACATACTTCCGATATATTAATGATGCTCTTTTAATATATCCCCGTGATACTGATTTACCTATTCTTGTAGACAAATCTAACAAAGTCGAACATGCAGTAGAATTTGCAGACGAAATGGAAAAAAAATTCTTTAGCTATCATGCTACACCACGTTAATAGCAGCTTAAATCTTGGTGTCTATTGAAAATCAACTAATCAAAATGATTTCATAAACTTCTATTCCCACCATAACAAAATAAAACCCGGAATTATCATCAGATTCTATTTAATGTGATATAATAGATAATGGCTCGGAATTGTTAATTGGAGAGACGAGTTCCAATTCCAGTTGGGTTCGTTATATTCACTTATGTGTAGAAACCCTTGGGAATGGCATGAATCCACCTTTTCTTACCCAAGCTATGGGTTAATTCGGATCAATAAAACAAAAATAAATAAAAATAATAAATAAAAAAATTATGTTAGCGTGTATATATGTACGTATGTCTTTACGTGTGTATAATTGTTTGATCCTCTCAAACACAGAAATATTTGGGGGCTTACAGCCACATCACGTTGAATGTGCGGGTGGTGTATTGTTTAATGGCTCGCAGTTGTTAATCGGAGAGACGAGTCCCAATTCCAGTTGGGTTCGTTAGATTCACTTACGCGTAAAATATCCTTGGGAAAGGTATGAATCTACCTGTTGTCTCCCCAGCTATGGGTTGATTAGTAAAACTTGTGTCACTAAACCATTATCATTTACAAAAATAAAATAAAATTGAGTACGCATATATTGTGTATTTTGTACAAAATATTTAGATTTCGATATTAAATAATCCATAGAAGTTGATACGCTGCTAAGCAAAATTAACCAACCAGTAAATATCGCCATCTTACTAGGCTGTACTAAACTAAGGTGAGAATATATCCATATAAGTTAGGTGTGTTGCATTGTGGGAAATTATACATTTACTGTAGATATTGGATCAGTTGAGATTTTTAGCTTATTATTAACTTCACTTGGGCATGTGCCCGAGTGGTTTGCCTTCTGACTATGAGACCCGGGTTCGAATTTCACCATGGTCGATTTGTCAGAAAGGAGACTTCCTGATGTTATCGGACTGGAGGAGTCGATCCCAGCGTGCGGCATCTTTGGAATCGACCTGAAAACCTTACCACGGGTTGACCCAAAACTTGTGAGGGAAATTGGGTAGACCGAACCCTTAGGGGCCGTCGATAGCTGTGCCAGCACAAAGTGACAAGTCATCGTGGCAGAGGTCTTGAGTTTGCTGGCCTTGTTCAAATTGTTGATCACGCTAAATAACACTATCTCTCTCAGAAACTGGAACTAATTTCTGCTCAACATAGTTGCAGTATAAACCATAAGTGGGCTCTGTGGGTGTTAAATAAACACAAATGCGCCTGAACAAGCGTCTACAATAGGGATTGGCTACCCCTCCTTAGTAGACAGGTATCCTCGAATAAGAGTGGCCAGATATACATAACGTCACTTGTTTAACTCAATATTAATTTCTTTGTTTTCTACACTTTCCTAATTAGTATTTAATTGATCAATGCTATTTAGTCAGTTTTATGCTTCTACATTCAGTTGAAGTCCTATTCAAGGAAGAGAAAATATATATAGGGGCTACGGAAAAGGAATGGAAAGAAGGTACAATAAACCCAAGTTAAGGTTTTAACACAATAAATACAAAAATGCTACACTACTGTCAGCATATCTTTGGAAAATTAAAAGAGCAGTGGCTAAAGTTCACTAAAATTACATGGAGAATTTATAAAAAAAAGCACTATATGTAAAAACACCAGGGGTAGGTATAGGCTTTGTCTAGAAGGAAAAATGCTATCCTAAGTTCGAGGAACAATAACAGAATACTTAATAAAAAAAACAACGTTAGTTAACAGATGTAGACATAATATAAAATCACTATTGTATCACCAGCCACCTGACTAGCTTATTGGCTTGTCTTTTCTTTTATATTGACCCCGAACCTTTAGAGCAGTCGTTAGTAGATTAGCCCACCAACAGGATTTTTGTCTTTGCATACGTTCTTTTTCCCCTGTAAGGAAGTGGTTATTCACGGGTTTTTAAATAAAATTATTTTGTTTTATCTTTGCCCGTGATGCTTTAAGGTATGCAGTTTCCGGTCCTGGATTGTATAAAAGTGCCTCCCTTTTCTTTGCGTTCAAGTCGTCTTAAGATCGCGTGAGAGTGAAACTCGGGTTACGACTAGGGCCATCTTTTTAATAGGAATTAATGTTGTCAATTTTTTTTGCTCTGTCTAGGTAATCTAGGCATTGAACACTTCTCTGAGTAGGTAGGTGTTTGACTTTAGTTTTTTTTTCCCCTATTGCTCTGCTTGTTCGAGTTTTTTTTTTATCTTGTTTAAGGGTATTTAGGCCTTTTGGTAGTAAATAACACCTTCGTTCCACGAAGGATTTTTGTTTTCTTCAATATATATATATATATATATATATATATATATATATATAT